AAGATAGACCAAAACCATATTTGTAATAAATTAATGATAATGATAGAGCCACTTCTATAGCTGTTAGAAGGTGGTAAGGCTGCAGAGGAAATGATAGGGCAGCCGGTTATGGGGGAATTAGGATTTTGGAACCAGGACATGATAGATTTTGATTCAGGATTCCTGTTGCCCTGCTGAAAGGTTACATTCAGAGCAGGTTCTGAAGGAAGGTACTCAAGCCCTCTTCTACTTAACTAAGGAAGATGGGCATGATTGTATCTTGACCTTTTAATTTTATTCTCCCTTTTACCATAGTTCTGAGATAGAGGTGAGGCATATACTTAAGCCAGTCTCTGTAAGTCTAGGGCAAATAGCTGGTATGGAAAAAATGATGCTCTTTCAGCAAGCTTTCTGCTCCCTTTTTGTGTCCTTTTTTCCTTCTTTTCTGGAAACTAACATTACAAACTGATGCTTCATTATTAACATTTTTCTCCCATTTGAATGCAACAGAGGCAAGGAAATCTGAATTTCTATCAAGGCTTCTTAGAACAGCCAAGTAGCTATACTTTTTATAGAGTTTGATTCCAAAGGAACTTTAAATTTAGTTTTATAAACAGACTTGTCACTCTCGAATGCAATAATCCAGCCACCCACTAATATGATAATTCTAAGACTGGGTCAAATGTACTAGCGTGTGTGCTTTTTTTTTTTTTAATGCCTAGAGCAACCAGATAGTAGTGCTACAATATGATAAGTACACATGTCTGATCTGAGGGATACCTAGAGATTTTGTTTGATTTATCTTGTAGTAAATCAAATGAATAAGTATGCTTTTTCAGGTAACAAGGCAGTTTGAATATTTATTGCAGACTCTAGTAATTCTTCTACTTTTCTCTGGATTGTAAGAGCAACAAGTCTGGCCAATATCATAAAAATGTCTATAGGGAATTGTGGAAGCATTTTCATGTGAAGCAGTACAGATACACTGGAGGTGAGCACATAATAAAACCTACATTGATGTCAGTAGCCTTCCATATAATGTGCTATTTTTATGTTTACAACAAGATATACAAAGATCCTAAGATCTGAATAGTATTTTGTCAGAGCAACAGATACTTAAACCCTTGAGTTGTTCAATTCAGTACTCACCAGCCATCAGAAAAACTATGCCTAAATTCTAAGCCAGACATTTACAAATAAAAAATACTTTATGCTCATTGTTTGTAGAAAGCATGTCATTTGAAATATATATAACATACATAAATATATATCCATTGATTACAATAAAAGTATTTTCACAATAGTACTATAATAATTGCTATTCTAGCAAATACTTATTCATTCACTTACGGTCTGCATGAACATATTAATATGTAGGTGATTGAATCTCCAAAGTACAATGCCACAGGCATGGCCTGAGACATTTTTTTCTTTCATGTAAGAATGGTGAACAATATTTTAAAGCCCTCTCAGTGCACTTAACAGTAGTTTGAAAGTACTTGTCTAGGTACAGGTTTTATTGCCTCAGTGCTTTTTATACTCACTTAGCTTTTTCAATGTCTGTTTCAGATCCAGGAAGTAGATCTCTTTGGGCACCATATTACAGAATGAAAAACACATCATCTATGAATTAATTTTGAAAGTGTATTGTGCCAGCATTCTAATAAAAATATCCACCCCTAGCATTTGCTACAAATAATAAGCACTTACACATATTTGTGGTATGAAAAGATAAAAATCTGAAATAAAAATACTTAACCTCTTGTAATGACAATGTCAGCTGATTTAGGGGGTCCTTTGTGGAAAAGGTGTCATGTGTCTAAATTACCTTTCTACATAAGTGAAATCTGAGAATTTGTATATGATTTCTTAACTTTTTAAGCTAAAAATGAATGTTTGCAGGTTGTTAACAGTGACTGTTTCCTTAAATGTAAAATTTAAAGGGAACTTTACCAGCATCACTTTATTGACACTTTAAGTGGGCTATATTTCTTTGGCTAAAATGAACTTTTTTTTTTTTTTAATAAATTCACACTTGACACATTTGCCCACTTTCAATAAGGAGTTATAATTAAGTTGAAATCATCAGCATTCTTTTGAAAAGATCATAGAGTAAAAAAAAAGGACACAAAATTTTTGAGCAAACAGAAAGTCTTTTTAATACTACCTAAGCCACATTCCAGATGTGTGACCTTCTGAAAATTACCTAACCTTTTGTTGTCTCGGTTTTCTCATCTGTGAAACAAGGATAATGATAGCTTTCTTTTAGGGAGGTTTTGAAGATTAGTAATGGTGTATGAAACTATGTAACACATGCCTGCCACATGAAAGGGCCTCACCTTGTCCTTGTCATCCTCATCATCATTCCAAAGCCTGCTGTCTGCACTTTAAAGATGTGCTATGTAGATTCTCTCCTCTGCTTCACTTTATCATTAGCAAGTGCAGTTGAAAACAAACTAAAATCTATTTAGCTGTGTATATATAAATGTATTTCACCTATTGTGAAAAAAAATGTTATGTACTGAAGGGTGAATTGAAGCCATCTCATTGAGGAGTCATATGAATAAACCGCAGTTTACATCCTTAAATTGCCTGCAGTGTAAATAGCCTTTGTATTCTATATACAAAATTGCCTACTAAAATTATTGCAAAAAATGAGAACCTAACCACAGAAGGGGGATACAGAACAGGAATGTTCTCCTTTCAATGTCAAGAGAAACTGTTAACTTCTCTAATATGGGTGGCAGAATTGATTCAAGGGCCCTGCAGGGAAAATGCTATTTGTAGGTCTGCAAGACAGTTTTATAGTGAAAATGATTGAATTTATGTCCCTATTTTAAGCTTTTTGCAACAGTGCTTCTACCTTTGAAAGTGACAATCTAGAATAACATAATCTTGACATATATGAATGTGTATTCCATGAGTGTTCGATAAAGTAAATTCATTTGTAAGGGCTGAATTATAAAATTAACATATGGAGGCCAAAATTGAATACTATCAAAATCTAAGGGTATCACATTGGAGAGGGAATACTTTTTCCTGTAAATGCAAACACTTGTAGTTTTTCTTTTCTCCACAGTTAAAATAAATCTCTCTCCTTTTAATGTAGATATTAGATAAGAAGAAAATGCTAGTCACTGAGCAAAGTACCTACACTCTAGAGCTGAGATCTACTAAAGAAATGCTAAATTCACATCATTTCAGGATATCAGTGGGATGCTGTAGTGTTTAAAACGGAATGTTGAGAGCCACTGTCTTATTAGAGAGTAAGAGGAAGGTGCTAGAGAATTAATACTTGGCAACAGTATGGGAAAAGGTGGTATTGAATGACCACCAGGGCGACAGGTGTTTTTATACAGGGTGCTGGACTGAGAAGTACAGTAGAGAAGGAAGGTGCAGTTCCCAACTCTGCCACTTTATCTTTGTTCACACTCTTCCCTCCACCCAGAATGCCCACCATACTCTTCTCTGTCCATCTGCAAGTCCCTCTGTGTTAGTCAGCTTTTCATTAGTAGGACCAAAATACCTGACCAGGAACAACTTAGAAGAGGAAAAGTGTATTTCAGACATTGAGTGCATGGCCAGCCAGGTCCATTGCTTTGTCCTGAAGCAAGTGGCATACCATAACAGAAAAGCATGCAGAGGAAAGTTGTTAGCTCTTGGCAGCCAGGAAGCAGAGAGAAGAGAGGGCCTGGGCGCAGGATATAAGCCCCTACTGACCTACTTCTTCCAATCATGCTGCACCTGCCTAAAGTTATCCAATAATCCATTCAGATTATTAATCTACCCAATGGATCGGTCCACAGATGAGGTTGCAGCTTTCATCATTGCCCCAGAACCCCAACAATGCATCTTGCTGTATTAGGGACCATGTTTCCAAAGCATGAGCTTTTGGGGGAACACTTCACATCCATACCAAAACACCATCGTTGTCTGACTTTAAACAGTGTTCTTTTTCAAAGAATCTTCTGATCTACCAGGTTGGACGAAGAGGTGGGCAGTGAGATAATCTCAAGTACCTGGGCTCTGTGCTAGGCACTGTACATAAGATCTCATTAATTTCACCCAAGAACGGAACATTACCACTCAGAACATCTGCGCAGGTTCAGTGTCTTCACCTCCCAGGAACACAGGAGAGGGAATACTGGGTGGAAGAGATGGGAAACGCAGCTCAGGCCAGGTGGGCCCTATAGCCTGTATTCTCTCTGCTGCAGTACATAGTCCTTAAATGGACCCTAATGGCAGTGCTGTGAAAAGCATTTCAATAGAAAAGTAATGCTGGCTATTTGGGGCTTGTGCCCTTCTAACTTTGATTTCAGACTCCTTTTTGAAACTGCCCTTTGATTTTTAGTATTTTAACTGGTTACTTTCTTGGAAAGTAGAGTTTGTTTAGTATCTGTTATAATTACAACATTTACCATATGCCTTTTGCTTCTTGTTGATGTTCAGTATGTATGGGTTACTTGATTTAAATGTGTAAGGCCTTTGCAAGTTTTCAAATGCTTAAGGACTAACCAAAAATATATAGTATAGGAGAAGGTCTTGGCAAAGATAAATGTGGCCATAGTTTTGCAAATTTAAAATGCATAGTGGAATTTACATCCCAAAGAAAGTCAAGGTCAAAGGTCATATTTTATTAAAATTTAAAAATACTTAGAATTGAAATTATCACTATGGGAACCATTGTCCAATTTTTTTAGGTGCACTTATTTTTTAGGATCTTATGTGTACCATTAATTAATTGTTAATATATTCAGATATACTTTGAGTATTTTCATGTAAAGTACTTTTATCCTTTTTTGAGGAAGAGATCAGGATTTAAATTTTAAAAGTAAAAAGGCAACGAAAGAAATTCTAGTTTTCTTTCTTTTTTTTTTAATGTACAACTTAACTAGAAATACCTTTTTACTTGGAGTACAAGATTGGATCCATATTTTCAGTCTAACATACAGATTCAGATCAGTTATAGAAATGTTTAAATAATGTTTCATTTAGTGAATTTCTCTTGTCTTGTTTTTCAGGTCCCGTAGGAGTGGGTCTGAATGAACTGAAACGGAAGCTGCTGATCAGTGATACACAGCATTATGGTGTAACAGTGCCCCGTGAGTTTTGTACTTTTCAATGCTACTGTGACTGCACTAGTAGGGATTGCTGAACACTTAGAGAGCATGCACCCTCTGGACCTCCCATCAGCCCCTAGAAGTGTGCAGTGACATTATCCACATTGTACAGAGGAGGTAACAGAGGTACCAGGGGTTAAGGAATTGTCCCTAGATGACACGGATGATTGGTAGGATATTTGTTAATTGCAGCTTCCCTACTTTTAGAATTTTATGAGGAATTTTACTTCACAGATAACATCAACTTATTATTTACAAATTTTCTTCTAAGTAAAAGACTCACTTTTCTATTTCCTAAAATAAGTGCTAATATTTTCCAGAGTTTTTCTCCAGTTTTACGATTAGAAGGAACAAACCACAGAGAACTGAAGGAGACTTCTCATAATATGAACCTTTCTTAATTACCTTTTATATGTAGTAATTGGCAGATAGTGTTAAATGGGCTTTTCATGGCCATATAGACCAAATATGGTAGGCTTTTTTTCAGTACACAGAATTAGATCTATTTTTATAAAAGTGGTTTTCATAGGCATTCTTACAAATGAAATATGATGCTTGAAACATTTTGATCTCCAGAATAAATGCCATTTGACTACTTAATATGTTGATGTTAGAAAGCTGTCTAAAAGGCTAAATTGAAATGTTGGCTTTTTCAAGTGGTTTTAGTAATGTTAGAAAAAAAAATCATTTGTCTATTGCCCTTAGCAATGTTCTCTAGTTTTGGAAGAGTTCAACTTTATTTTAAAATTATAGTTTTTTATTACCTCAAGTTACATCTTGTTACTACATTTTTCCAAATTATTGTTTGTAATCATTTTCAGCCGTAAGTTATAGGACTGCTGGTTTCCACCAGGGAAATGTGAAATTAGACAGTTTCTTCCCCCCCCCCCCCCCCCCGCCGCCCCCTTTAATTCACTTCTCTTACCTACTGAAGTTGAATTTCAATTTACAGGTAACTAGAAAAGTATACAAATGGTTGTTAAGCTTACAGGTGAGCAACTATAGAAGAAACCTGAGATGCAAAAACAGATTACAAAGGAAAAACAAACTTCAATTTCCTACTGTAGATTCATCTCCATTGTTCATCTTAATTTATGTCGCCCTCCCAACAGTGGTGTAAGATGGGTGATATTTTCTCTATTTCACAGAGAAGGAAAGAGTGCAAAGAGTACCTGGACTCATTCATAGCTCAGTCGATGATAGTTGCACTTGGATTTGAAATCAGGTGTTTTGACAGCACTGCTTATGTTCTTCTCCTGTGTTTCTCTAGCAGTGCTTTCAAACTACTTACTGAAAGCCCAGGGAGCAGTAAAAACTGTAGTGAAGATGATAAATATCAATAAGGCCATCTATCAAATGTAACCTTCTGTACTGGTTTTGGTGTTACCAAAGGCCCTAGAACAAGGCACTTTGGCTTTTAAGTGCTGAGATAACCTGTCTCCAAAATTGTTATAGAATCAGAAAATATCTAGAAAGATCCTGGGGCTCAGACTCTGAAAAAAAATCCTCAGAGTATTTATTTTCCACTCTGATCCACTTTAAACAGGTATTAATGTCACTGGGTCCCCAAATACCAATGGTTTCAGACATGCCTAATGATAAGAATCTCCTTGGGGTTGCAAGAAAATACATGTCTGAGACTATATTTATAGCAAGCATCCCAGGTCATTCATAAGATCAGACATGTTTGGAAAATATAACTAGAGCATCAATTAAGGGTGAGGTAGTTAATTTAAGAAAAATATATTTTAAGAGTAATTTTGAAATTTCATTGTTTTGCTTTCTAAAGTACTTTGGGCAGACTCTTGAATATTATAGAAAAAAATATTGAATATTAGAGAAAAATTATTGTTTTGATGATTACTAGTATTGTTTGATGCTTAATACTACAATTCTCCTTTCTGAGACATATAACATCCACGAGAATAGGTAGAATAAAAGAGATGGAACTCTTGTACATGGCTGATCAGAGTATAAATTACCATTTCAGCAAACTAAGTGGCCATATCTACTAAAGCTTCTCAAACACACCGTATGACCCAGCAATTCCATTCCCAGATATACACCCAACAGAATTGCATATGTACAAAAGACATATATTCAGATATTCTTAGAAACATATTTATCAGAGTTAAAATTAGAAACTACCCAAACACCTATCAGAAGTAGAATGGAAGCCAGGCAAGGTGACACACGCCTGTAATCCTAGCAGCTCGGGAGACGGAGGCAGGAGGATTGCAAGTTCAAAGCCAGCCCCAGCAACTTGGTGAGGCCCTGAACAACTTAGCAAGACCCTGTCTCAAAATAAAATACAAAAAAAGGGTGGGGATGTGTCTCAGTTGTTAAGAGCCCCTGGGTTCAATCCCTGGTACAAAAAAAAAGAAAGAAAGAAAAAAGAAAAGTAGTAGTAGAATAGATAATAAATTAAGGCATATTTACACAATGAAATACTAGAACACAGAAAAAAGTAGTACACAAATACACAGACCCATACAAATGAACCCCACAGACATCATGTGAGTAAAAGGAAGCAAGCACAGAAGAGGACCTGCATTATTTCTCCATGTTTATAAATATAAAAGAGCACAGCAATATGTGCCCTTCGAAATTTTGAGGAGGGAAAAATTGACCAGTAATTTGTGGGTGTTGGCAATTTTCTGCTTCTATCAGAAGTGCTCATTACAGAGGCATGTTTGATGTGTGAAAATTCATCAAGCCATATATTTATAAGTGTATATATAACTTTATGTGAACTTTTCTTTCTGTATATCATACTTGGGTTTTTTAATGTTCAAAATAAATACCTAGTAGTTTAGTTGGCTTTCTGATGTTGATTTCCTGGTTTTGACAATGTGCTGTAGTTTTATAAGTCCTACCATAGGAAGCTGAGGGATGGTTGCATGGGACCTCTCTGTGTACAATTTTTATAACTACTTTTGAATCTATAATTATTCTGCTTTTTAAAAAATAAGCACAATCACACAGTGTTTAACCCTGAGATACATCCTGAGAAATGCAATGTTAGGCAGTTTCCTCATTTGAACTTTCACAAGCTAAGTTGGCTGCGTCACTGGACAATATTATCTTATGGGAACACTGTTGTATGCACAGTCCATAATGCAAAATGTCTTTATGAAGCACAGGACAATATATAAACATATAAAGGAATTCCAAATCAGGTTAATGCTATTGTTGTTGGGCTAAAATGGCTGAAAAGTAGTTAACAAAAAATATTACAGTAGATCTCAAATATTGAGTGGATTCTAGAATCTCTATAGTCTGGACTTTGGGCACTCTTATGATTTAAAAGTCAACCTCGCCACCAAGTCACTTTCTATGGTTTCCTTGAAAGCAAATATCACAAATTTTGTGTTTTTATGGATTTCCAAGTACCTATGTTTTAGAACACTCCTTTGTCCACAGGATGCCTTACTTAAAATTTCCAAACTATAAATGTTTTGAATGAGGATACCAGTTTTAAAAAAAAATTAATTCACCATGGTTATTATTCTGGGATTTTGTTGGGGACAAGGAGGAGAGGCTAGAACTTGTTCTATATGCATTTGATTTTTGTCTTAACCTATAAGCGTAGTGGATCAGCAGTCACGAAGTAGTGGCCTGCTATGGCCCATCTTTCCCTTTGAATCTCCTTGTCCTTTGAATTTCTAGGTCCTTCATTCAGAATCCCTCATTGTTACTGAGTTCATGAGATTCCCAAGGTTGCTCATTTTAATTAGACGCTGAAATTCTTCATCAGTAAAATAGCATCAGACCTAGCTAATTCAGGTTGATTATGATACACAAACACTTTGGTTGTAGACATATACCTATGTAGTATGTTCAGTAACATAATAAATATCTTAATTACTACTTCATGTAGTTCTAAAAATATTTTTAACCCTCTAGGGGGACTCCATGTGTTGGGAAAGTGATTTTAACTGTTGTAGATTTTCAGTCAGCATGTTCTGCCAGTACAGTTGGATAAAGTCAGTCTTTGCTTAGTTAATGAGAAACAAATGTGTAGAAAATTCTATTTTGATTTTCTGCAAGACTTTATCTTAAGCCTACCATTTGCTCAGGGAACAATAACAAATGGTGGTAACAAAACGGATTAAGTGATAAATGAATATAAACCTTAATTCTAAAGCACAGTATCATACTAATTTTAATCTTTCAAAGTCTTAGATACTTATACATACACCCAACAGAACATTTTTGTGCTATGAAACTTATTCTTAGTTTTTATGATAGAATAAAATGTATCAGTATCAGTACTTCATCCAGTTCCTGTAAGGGGTGTGACATTCCATAAAGAATAACACTGCTTCTGGGTGCGCCACACGTGGAAACAAGTATGAAAAACTGTTTTCAAGAAATAAGAACTTTGTAGGAAAATGTGCTTTCTAACTAAACAAAAGGGAGTTAAAATTTTGGATATAATTTAAATTAATTGGGTTTTATGAATCCATTGCTGTTTGAATTAGCTTACTGTTTCCCCGACTTCTCACAATTTTATAACATTATTTAAATACAATTAAAATAACTGCACATACTTTAAATATGATGTGATCAGTCTTAAATACATATGCACATGTGAAACTATCCCCACAGTCAACATAACAAAGCATTTTTATCTCCTCAAAGATGTCCATGTGCTTTTTGCAGCCCATCCCTCTACTCCTATTGCAAGGCTCCTGCTGGTCTGCATTTGGCCGTGTGGGTCGGTAGGAATTGTTAGTACTTTAAATTGAATTACACAGCATATACCTGCTGTGTTTCTATTCAACATGAGCTTGGGATTCATTCATGTTGTTTCATAGATCATTAATTGATCCATTTTCACTGTTGAATACCATTCTTTTTATGGAAATACTGATTTTTTTAATCTATTTACCTATTGATGGATATTTAGAAGTTTCTTTCCCCACCCCATTTTTGGCCACTGCAAATAAAGGTATTATGAGGTTTGTATACAGGATTTTTTTTTTTAAAGAGAGAGATAATTTTTTTAAGAGAGAGAGAGAGAGATTTTTCAGTTTGTCACAACATCTTTATTTTATTTTTATGTGGTGCTGAGGATCGAACCCAGCACCCCGCGCATGCCAGGCAAGCGCATTACCACTTGAGCCACATCCCCAGCCCAAGTATACAAGATTTTTGATGGTCGTATGTTTTGTTTCTCTTGGGCAAGTAAGTAGGAGAATGACCATGTATCTGTGTCTTAATATGTAATATGCTTTCTTATAGGCTTATCAGCAGAAATGTACTAAGGTATTTATCTTTTACCCATTTTAGGGTAAATCTCCGCCTTTTAATGGGTGTACAGAAACCTTAAGCATTTATTTAACTATAAAAATGATTGCGTTGTTTTTTAACTCATTGTTTTCTGTATTTCATTTTCTTTTCCTTCCTTTTCTGCCTTCCTTTAGATTATCTGAAGGTTTTTTAGTATTCCATTTTAATCTACCTATTGGCACTCTGGTTTATATCTCTTTGCAATAGTTTTTTACTGGTTGCTTTAAGGGATTATAATATACATATCTAACCATTTACCATCTATGTGGAGTTAACTTGGCATTGTTTCACATAAAATATACAAGACTTGCAACCATGTAATTCCCTTTTCCCCTACCTTAATCTGCTGCAGTTATTGAATATATTATATTTCCATACATTGAAAATTCTATCAATCAGTAGTAAAACTTTTACTGAAACAGTCATATATGTCTTAATGGACTTAAGAGGGTAAAAGTGGACTTCGTTTGGATTCAGCTATTTGTTCTTTCTTCATTCTTGAAGATCCAAGTTTCTTTCTTACCGTTTCACTTCAGCATTTTAAAATGTCCATTTTTCCTCTTAGAACAAGGGGCTGATGAATTCTGTGTTTCTCCTCATCTTAGAAAGTCTTTATGTTGCGTTTATTTCTGAAAGATATTTTGGTTGATTTATTTCATTTCATTTATTTCTTTTATGATTTATGAAAAGAAATCTGTGATGATTTTAAATAATTCTTCCCTTATGGGTATTATATTTTCCAGTTGACTTCAAAATTTTTTAGTTACATTTGACTTTTACTGATGTGATTATATGTGTAGGCATGATCTTTTTTTCTGAATTTATCCTGTTTGGGATCTGTTGAGCTTCTGAAATCTGTAAGTTTATGTCTTTCACCAAATTTTAAAATTCCAGAATCTGCTCCAATATAATTTTTCTCTCCTTCTAGCACCTAATTACACATACAGTAGACATTTCAGCATTGGGATTCATTCATGTTGTTTCATAGATCAATAGTTGATTCATTTTCATTCTTGATATGGAAATATCAATATTTTTCTGTCTATTCACCTGTTGAATCCAAGTCCCTGGAGTTCCATTTATTTTTTTTCAGTCTTTGTTGTTGTTGTTCAGATTATACAATTTTTTAAATACATATTTTTTAGTCATGGGTGGACACAACACCTTTATTTGTTTTTATTGTTTTATGTGGTGCTGAGGATCAAACCCAGTGCTTCAGGCATGCTAGGTGAGCACTCTACCACCGAGCCACAACCCCAGCCCCAGATTATATAGTTTTTATTGATCATCTTCAGGTCACTGGCTCTTTTATTTATTATCTTCTTTCTGCTACTAAAACCATCTTGTGATTTGTTTCTGTTATATATTGTATCTTCTCAGTTCTAAAATTCTCACTTGGTTCTTCTTTTATAATTTCTATTTCTCTACTAAGACTTACATTTTCATTGAATTCAAGTGTTTCCTTTTACTTTATGAAGCATAGTTACGATAGTTGCATTAAAGTCTGTGTTTTAACTTCTGGGTCTTGCGGTTTCCATCTGTTATCTTTCCTCTTGAGAATGGTCATATTTCCTTGTTGTTTTTTTTTTTTTTCACAGAGAGAGAGAGAATTTTTAATATTTATTTTTTAGTTTTCGGTGGACACAACCTCTTTATTTTATTTTTATGTGGTGCTGAGGATCAAACCCAGTGCCCCGCAAATGCCAGTGAGCACGTTACTGCTTGAGCCACATCCCCAGCCCTCCTTGGTTATTTTATATTGAACAATTTTGGATTGCATTCTAGGTATTGTGAGTGTTATGTTATATTAACACTAGGTCCTGATCTAAATTCTGGAAAATATTGATGTATTTATCTTAGCAGGTAAACAACTGCCTGATACTAAGTTCTGTCTCATTTATCTTTGTTGATTTGTATCTGTCCTGGTTCGAAGACAAGTCTGAGATTGTATACATAATTCAAATCCAGCTCAGTTCTCCAAGCTTTTCCTACACTGTTAAGGGTGTGTTCAGTGTTTTCTATTATGCAGGGTTTAGACCTAGACTTGAGTATTCTAATCTCCGGTTCACTTCTTAAAAACTTTACTGTGCTGGTTTGAATCTGAACTGCATGCGTAAGGGCAAGAGTTATTCTTAGACTAATGGTTGTTCATATATAGAGTTAAAGTATTTCCTTCTATACTTTCTCCCCTCCTAGATTTCCTACATACTCTTTAACCCAAAATGACTTGATTTTTCCCCATCCCCTTTTTTTCTGGTCCTTTCACTGAAATTGGCAGGACATCTATTGGAGTTTAGCACACATTCCACTATGATTCTCTTGGAGTGATTCCTACCCTTGGGGCAAACCTAGAAAAAAAAATAAAGCTAAACTTTTCCCCATGCAGGTTGACCCGCTTCCACAATCTTACCTGTTTTATTTATTTTTCAGAGTACTCAGGCAGTTGTCCTGGTTTCAGAGGTTTTTGTTGTAATCAGTAGGACTGTGGTGTGTTTTTTACTTGCCATATCAATAGAAAACCTTGTGTTTTGTTGTTTGTAATTAATCCTGCATTTTCTGCTCCATTACAGTTTACTGAAAAATAACTAGAAAAATTACTGGAATATTGGAAGTTAAATAATATTCTAAGAGGGTGCTGCTTATAACTTTGCCAAGGATAATGAATAGCACATAGAAGTATTTGACTTTATCCAGTGTAATAGAAAGCATTGATGACATAGTGCTGTGTTAGGAAGGTAATAAGATAATTTCATAATTTGTAACTAGTGGGCAGCAGATTTTCTTCAGTGAATGAGGATCAATAAATAAAGATGATGAGCATATTATTTGCAAAAGAAAGGAGTTTTCCTCAAAGTGTTTAGGATACCACTTTTATTTAATTATATTAAAAAACCTTCAAAATAATGAGTAATAGCACAGACACACAATGCAATTGAATTTTACTCAATTTTCAAATTTTAATATCAGTAGTAAAATCTGCATTTGACACTTTACTATATTTTATTAACTAATTTACTTATTTATAAGTTTTTTAATTCCATGTAAGATAACTGCTTCGATTATACATGATCATTTCTTTAATATTTCCTATACTCTTTTTTTAAAATCAAGTATGAGCTTTTCTAAACTTTTTTTTTTTAATCAACTCACAGATACCACCAGAGCAAGAAGAAGCCAGGAGAGTGATGGTGTTGAATATATTTTCATTTCCAAACATTTGTTTGAGACAGATGTACAAAATAACAAGTATGTGAAAATTTCGGCAAGTTTTATATGACTATTGTTTTTAAGCATATTCCTATATATCCAGCCTGTATATCCACTTAGAGTTTTGCTGCATTTGAAAATGTATTTTACTTACCACAGTATTATTTGAAACCCATATAAAATGACAATTCAGTTATTAATTTTTACCAATATTTACCCCTTTTTAATAACTAGAACTGTTACGTTTCTGTTAAGTTAAACACATAGGTATTATTTTGCAGTATGAGGGAAGGTTTGACTGGTGTCTTATTGTAACTTATTTCCAGCCCACTGATTTAATCTTAACATGTAATTTGGGTGGAATTTTATTTTTTAAATTGGTGAACAGCTACTCACTATATCCCTAGTCCTACAATCTGTTCCATACACACACATTTCATTCTTACATTGATACTTCAAGAAATTGAAATAAGGTTAAGTTGTACACATACCATCTTCTCTAGCGAGCTGTAAAATCCCACCCCCAACACTGTTTGGGTTTTCCATTTGCTTAAGCATGACTATTTTAGGATGATATCAAAAGCAATGTGTGTTTTAATGCAGGATTGTGGGATTTTATTGAAACATCGAAATGCTTTCTTCGCATTTGGCGCAATAATTGTGTTTTTATAGCACATAATCGGCTGCCCTGATTCCATTAGCCACCACCCAGCTCCTGTAGTTCTGAAGCTAAGCTTGGTTACTCTGTAGTATGCAATGAAATTTCAGTAGTTTCTATTGTTTGGCTGATTCATGGTTTTATTGCATTGCATTAGTTCTGAAAAAGGGGTGATGGAAAACATTAGAGCTCTACTGGACTGAAGTACTTTTTTTCTGCTTAAGTGTAACACAAGCAAGTGTTACTGATTTGAAAATGTAGAATAGAAGATTTTTAAAAATTGACATTCTGAAGTAGTTGGCCCTATTTATTCTATTAAATATGGTAAAAAATTAAATGTTAAGCAAAAACGTCTTTTACCTATGAATTATATCTTGCCACATATGAATTTAATTCACAAATGATTCTGATGAGCCTCTAATTTTCCACAGGTTTATTGAATATGGTGAATATAAGAACAACTACTATGGCACAAGTATAGACTCAGTTCGATCTGTCCTAGCTAAAAACAAAGTTTGTTTGTTGGATGTTCAGCCTCATGTAAGTAAACAGTTGAATATCTATAATATTGATAATTGTTTCAGGCTATAAAGAAACTGATTAGAATATTGTGTATTTAAATCTTGTTTAAATACATGCTCATTGTAAACATATCTTTGATATTGATATTAATCTTGAATAAAGAAGAGTAGTAATTTTAAAAAAAAAAAATATTCAGAACACTTGCAACCCATGTACTCTACTGCACTTCATGTGAGCATTTTGGTATAAGGTAAATATAAAGTCTACTCATCAGTGTAATTTGATATATCTTTTGTGGGGGTGGGGGAAGCCCACAATATAATTAGGAAATAGGAGTGGAGGGAGCTCAAAGATCTGTGTTTGTAACTCTCATTTATTTCCAGTCAAGTTCAATGACTTTTAAATATTTCTGTGTATTTCATATTTTTAAAGAATACATTATTACACATATGATGTATTTTTTAACCATACGATTTATTTTTATTTTTTTAGTCATACATGACAGCAGAATGTATTTTGACACATAATACATACATGGAATGTACATACATCAATCATATTGTCTATTCTGCTGCCCTTCCTATCCTCCCTACTCCTCCCCTCCTATCCCATCCTTTCTCTCTATCCAATCTAATGTGACACACTTTTTTTTTTTTTCTCATTACAACATCATATATGTATTCTGTTTAACAACGAGGTTCTCCTTCCATCTTCCATGTGATGTATTTTTTATGTTATGTATTATTCTAAGTGTTTATCATTTTTAACAGTGGACATTTGGTTCTCAATCCTCTGTCTTTGATTTGGGTCTTGTAAATGTCCTAGAAACCTAAAACCCCTGCTAGAGCTATGAGACTTTTCCCAGGAATTGTGCTGGGCAAGATCCCTTTAACAGTTGATCTTTGTCACCCTGGGGTTTTTGTTTTGTGTTTTGGTTTCTTTTTTCTTTTTTCTTTTTCTACTGGGGATTGAACCTAGGAGCACTTAACCACTGATCCATATCTCCAGCCCTTTTTTTGTATTTTATTTAGAGACAGGGTCTTGCAGAATTACTAAGGAACTCACTAAGTTTGCTGAGGTTGGCTTTGAACTTGTGATCCACCTGTCTCAGCCTCCCAAGCCACTGGGATTACAGGCATGTGCTGCCTCACCCAGCACCTGGGAATTCCAGACTGAGGATGCCAATGGATGAAGCCATTCACTTCCTTGTCAAATCATATATGTTCCCACTGATGCCAAACCCATAACATTTTCCTGGTCCTCCAGGGGCCCTAGATTGTCCTTCTACCAGTGGTGGTACCCTGAGGCACATAGCCTCCACTGGATCTGTTTATTCCTGGATCCTCATAGTGCAGTTTCTGCCTCTCCTCCTAGTGCCTGTAGCACCCCTCTGTCCCCTGCCACCTGTACTACCCCCACTCCCCACACTCCCTCTGCTGCCTACACATAGCCCATCTGCCTATCCTTTAGGTGACGCCTATCATTTATATTCATATTTTGGAAGGCTCTGACACACAGTTCAAGAACATTCCTCAGCCCTCACCCTTCTGTCGGTTACCCTTGATGATAGGTGAGTCCCCAGAAGCAGAGTGTAAATAACGTAAGACCCTTGATGAGGGAATGCTGGTGCCATCACAGACAGCAGGGGCCACCTTTATCACTCCCTCTTAGGGGCAGGTGAAGGCCAAGGACTCCTGCTTGAGATCAGGAGAGGGCCATAGGGATGGTCAGGTGACTTATTATATTATTAGTACTGTTATTATAATTTACCCCGTCACATCTTTTTGGTATTTGCTCTAAAAGCCAGTTTCGTGGTGTTCATAGCTACTTGTGTTCAACATTTATGATGATGTATTTCAGACATTTTTAAATGAAATTTGCATTTTCCAGCTTCTTTTAGAGAGGAACATTTGTCACCTTCAATTGTTAATAACTGATTGAATAATACATCAAAAGACCTACTGACCTTAATTAGAGAATAAGTTTAGAAATAAGTTAAGAAAATGAAATAATTCATGAGGTTATGACGAAATACAAGAAAAAAATTCTTTTCTTCCTTGTAGACAGTGAAACATTTAAGGACCCTAGAATTTAAGCCCTATGTGATATTTATAAAACCACCATCAATAGAGCGTTTGAGAGAGACAAGGAAAAATGCAAAGATTATTTCAAGCAGAGATGACCAGGGTGCTGCAAAGCCCTTTACGGTGAGTACCAAGATATTAGTGATGGTATCTAAGCAGTGCATAAAAGCACGTGCATCTGTGGCTACTCAGGAAGGCTATTAAAGACAAAGCTGTGATTCAAAAATCTGTAAAAGGTAGAATTGTCTTTATGTACATATTTTGAACCATTGCACTATTAATTTCTTTTTGTAATTCTGTGAATGCAGCTTCATATTAACTTAAAACTATTTTTGTATGTTATTATATGTATATATTAGATTTTTCTAGGCCAAGCATTTATTAAAATTAGGCTAATTATTTTTCAGATTAGCTTTACATTTAAAGATAAAAGTACCCAAATCAGTTACTGCTCTTTCTTAATAGTCTAAATGAAAAACGTAATAACTTCCTTTTTCTCCTGGTATCATATTTAGCACTATAAAAAGAAAAGGCACCATTTGAGGAGAAGACTAGTAGACTGTTATTTTCTAACAGTGCTATTCGTATTTCCTAGGAGTGTTATTGGAAATAGTGACTGTGATATGTCAATGGATATGTTGACTTCTGGCAAGTCTTTTTATTGGTTTTGTTTTCAGTCTTATCAAGATAATGTATTCTACCTTTGGATCAAAATAAGTAAAGAAGTTAAATGTTAAGAACACCCCCCCTTCTATTTAACTTTAGTCTCTGTTAATCTGTGTACTTTTAATTGTGATTACAAATACAGATTTTGTTTATGATTCACAATATTTGATCTTTTTTCAAAATGCTAACAGTATCTATCTATGCTGAGTAGATGTTAACATATGATATTAGTTACTCAAGGTTCTTGATTAACACTAACGTTAAATTTTCTATTGGGAAATCATAGGTGACATTGCAATGTGGGTTCTTAAATTATTTCAATAAGTGCAATATGAAGAATTATTATCTTGTTATAAATTTAAAGTTTATTGGTGAAGATAAATGATAATATGTTCTTGGGATTTGTCTCACTAACCTTTATGTATATACTTACGTAGCCTTAAGTTTTATAGCCAGCTAAAATAACTTCCTGATGTCAAAAAATGTGGCCATGTAAGGCTCTTGAAGCACTTCAAATGAGCCAAAAGAGGGAGATAGTAACTATTCTTTTATAACGTATCCAACCATGAAAATGTTTGTGTTGTAAATTCCTTCCTATGCATAAACATAAATAATGCCACAAACCAATGCAATGAGTCAGCAGTTCTTTTTCCCCAAGTAGCTATTTTAATAACCACATAACCATGTAATGATAAGTTAGTGACTATATATCCTGAAATTTAGTTAAGGTGGGAGTTTTGGATCTTCTCAGAGGAGTTTAGTTATAAGCAGATTAGAGAAAAGAATATTAGAGGTTATGACATCTGAAGAACTAGTGGTTAAAGAAGGTAATTTTTATTGTTGGATGAGGTGAAAGGCTAAACCCAGAACAGTATTAGGTAAGGATACTAATGCTAAAAACAGTATTAGGTAAGAACTGTAGAATGTTTACATTGGTGTGAAATGATATAAGTGCCTGGTTAACCAGTTTTTTAAAAAATACTTCCTTTTGTAGGAAGAAGACTTTCAAGAAATGATTAAATCTGCACAGATAATGGAAAGTCAGTATGGTCATCTTTTTGACAAAATTATAATAAATGATGATCTCACTGTGGCATTTAATGAGCTCAAAACAACTTTTGACAAATTAGAGACAGATACCCATTGGGTACCAGTGAGCTGGTTACATTCATAATTACAGGAAATTTCCACACTTGTGTGTGTATGTGTTGTTTTGTTTTTAATAGAATGCATAATTAAATCAGTTGCCATTTTGGTGGTAGAGTTTTTTAATTATATCACTATCATAGATGTATAATCTTTGTAAAAATTGAATAGTAGTTTAGTTTGTGTCTTTTCATGGCCTTATTTGAAATACATGTGACTCTAAAATCTAACAATCCACCCTTGCTCAATACTATATTCTGAGCAAAACTTTGGACCTTCCAGCTGTCTTTAATATATCTCTATCTGCAACGTGAGGTTGAATTTTTTAAAGAGATATAGCTAGAGACAAAATAGATAGACGTTCTGTACTCCAGCTGGTCTCAGATGTGGCCACTGCCATTCAATCTGTATGTCCGTAGTTGAAGGTATTAACTGAACAGTTTCAAGAACCTCTACAGACATGTCAGCTCTGAATTTTCAGATGGGTCACCATGACTTAACTGGGCTGACAGTTAAGACATAGTCTTCTTACTACTTTAAGAGTACAAACTTTTCTTATGTCTACAAAATACGTTCACAGTGTGTACATTTTAAAATCTTAGAGGCGTAACTGAAAATTTACCTTGAGTGAGTGACCTCATGTTATAATTTTAGAGTAGTCCTTACGAGTATGTATCAGTGACATAACATGTAAGAAGGGAAAACAGAGGTTTTTGTGTTTTTGTTTTTGTTTTTAATACAGGGGTCTCTCTCTATAACCCAGGCTGGCCTAGAATTTGCCATCCTCCTGCCTCACACTCCCAAGTAGCTGGGATTACAGGTGTGTACCACTACACCTGGCACAGACAGTAGACTTTTAAAAATTATTGTAAATATAACTCATAATCTTTCCATATGGTGTTAAGAGTGGGGAAGAAATAATTATAAAGGATAGTTTTATTTGTAAATTCTCAGAAGACATTGCTGGAGTCACCAAAAAGATATTTTGAGAAGGCTTTGTATTTTCCCAATAAATTATAAAAATGTTATTCCTATTCTAAACTATGTAAAATATGTTTTATATGTTAGTGATACAGTTAAAAAATGATCATTTTTCCAATTTGTGCAGTTGATCACCATATATGTAAATTGTGCTCTGTTTTAGAAAACTTTTTATGTAATGTAACTTTTGTCACCAGATGATTCTGAACACTGGCCATATACCATCTTAACCTAAAGAAGTATAAGAAGGGCTGGGGAGTAGCTCAGAGGTACAGCACTTGGCTAGCATGCACAATGCCTTGGGTTTGATCCCCAGCACCACAAATAATAATATTAATAATAAAAGAAGAAGAAGTAGTAAAAGAAAGACCCTTATATTGTAAAATATTTAAATGGTATCTCTCGTCTTTCTTTGGTACTATTGATCTTCAGAAAGTGAATTATATAATTCAAAATACTACAAATGTCTATAAGTTCTGTAAGAGAACGTGTCCTGCTATTCTTGCATGTAGAAAGATCTTGCCAATCAAAACTCACTGCATCTATGACTTTCATACAAAATAATTATTTTTGTCACTTTGTAAAGAATTTAGATGTCACATTTAAAAAATATAGAATGTACTAAAATTTTATATATTTATGAAATATTTGAAAGGCATATTTTTTTAATTATCAAATGGGGCTCTCCATAAAATAAATTGACTATATGTAAAGATGTCATAAGTTAAAATAGTAGTTTTATAGATCAAGGTCAACATTCCATGTAAATATTTGACCTTTACACAGATAGATTCACAAGTACATTATATATACACTGCACATTTGGTAGCATTCATCACTGGATTTATTTCAGACATGTCTAATTACATACTAGAAACAGGAACAAAAACTACTTCAATGGCCCTGATACATAGTCACATCCAAAGTAGTCAGATATTCAGACTAAATCGTATTTAACAACATAAACCGAGTGAGTTCTAAATTTATTAAATAGCAAGCCATTTCACTTAAAAAAAAAATGAGGGAAAGGTTACCAGATCTCATATTGTAGCCATTCTTAAAGTTATATGGCTTCTCTAAGAGAAGTGCAAGTCTGGTTTGGGTTGAAAGCATGGAATCATGCTTTGAACATTGGCTAAAATTTCCAGTGAAATGAGACTTCCTATAAAAAGAATGGTGGGAAATGTATAATAGTATAGGCAATCTTCTGAATAATTTACTCTGCCCTATTTCTTTACTCTGAAATATCTACATGTTTTTTTTCCTGCATTTCCAGATAAATGCCTCAATTCATTACTTTAGGGATAGAGATAGTGGAGGGTAGTGGAAACTGAGTCCTTCCAGATGGTGGTGGTGATGGCTACATTCTGAAACTACAACTCTACAGACCTTTGTCCTTTTTTAGACCAGAACTGGAAAAAAAGTTTTTAAAATAATGAAAAGAAGGGCAATTTGAAAAATCAGGTAGTATACATAGCCTTATAAGTGGTGTTTGTGGGTCCTTAGAGATTGGGTTAAAATTTAATAAGGCAGGCCAGCTCCAAGGACTTGTTGATAACTGTAGCATAAATTGGCCTGGATTCTGTCCTCCACCTTCATCCACCATTGCCCCTGAGGAAAAGAGCACTATACTCCCAACATGGAATGTCAGCCACGATTTGACAGAAGGGGATGATTAATTTTCAACTGTGTGTTAAAATCCAGAACCAAGAAGGAAATTCTTTTGTCTCATGATTGACAAATTAGTTAAAAATAAAAAAGGTGCAATTGAAATACAAGTTTTGCAATGGTTTTACTGGTCAGTATAGAAATTCTTAGTATCTTTAAGGCTGACATTTCTTGTATTGAGTAATGATTGAATGTATCTAAATCTGACAAACTGTAAACTCAGATTTATGAAACTATGTTGTTAAGATATTCCTGAAGATAGATTTTTATTATTTATTTTCTTTTGGATAAGAAAGGACAATGGAAAGCCCTTGGTTTTAATAAAGTATCTATAAACAGTATGCGTACTTGAAACTTCTTTTTGCGCTTGAATATTCAGTTTATACTATTTTCCATGGTAGGACAAATTCTTTTCTGCTGTGATATGAAGTGATTTATTTCAACTTGGCGTGTCTAAAATTAAGTTTTCTGATTTTTCAAACAATGCTTTTATCAAAATTGTTGGAGTCACCAGATTCACTAGTCTTGCTCTTACCCATAAGTACCACAGCATAAAGATGTGGAGAGAGAGAGTGGTTTGGATGACCCAGGACCATCCATGATGGGAACACTCCTCTGCTTCCCCACTTCCTTTCCCCCACCCCATCAGGACTGTTATATTTTCTTCTTGAGCCAGTTATGCAAAACTGAACTTGTTTAGCTACACCTATAAGAACACACTATCTTCTCTTAAACAGGCAAATATTGTTCTTGCTGCAATAGTTCAAGCCCTGCTTCCACATAATGATTTTATAATGAGGTACCAAATAAAAGTTGCATTGCAACTTTGGGCCCAGCCTGAACAACTTTGCAAGACCCTGTCTCTAAATAAATTTTAAAAAGGAATAGGAATGAAACTTGATTGTAGAACACTTGCTTAGCATGCATGAGGACCTGGGTTCAATCCCCAGTTTTGTTGAGAAGCAAGGATATATATTTTTTCATATATATTTTATGTATAATTCATTTATAAATATGTGTGTGTTCATATACATATGAATGAGCTTGGGATCTGAATCCAGAATTCTTGAGCTGAAATTCTGGGTTTTGCCTGTTACCAGTGTTGCAACCTTGGGAACAAAAAAAAAAAAAAAAACATCAAATGTCTCTGGTCTTTATTTTCTCATCAGGAAAATATAGATAATAAATAGATATTTCCTCATAGGATTGTTGTAGGCATCAAATGACAGAATCCATGTTAAGTATTTAGAGCCAAATCTGGAATTGAAGCACTCAATAATTGTGAGCTCCCATTTTTTATAATGGTCTTTATCACATCACACAATTTAAAAATGGGTATGTAAGTATTCTTAATCACACTAAACTCCCTTATTACAATAGTGAACTCATTAGAAATTCCTAATAATTTCTATTATAACTTTATTTTTTTTAAATTCCATTGATTCCCACCAAACATAGGAACTAATTAGGCAATACCCAAAAGAAAATAAAGTCTAATTTTATTTTTAAACACTGAATATGATGCAATATGCTTGATAATATTTTGAAAGAAATACCTCTTGTTTCATTGCTCTTTCTTCTGCTGCCACCTTCCTCAATGTTTGCTTAGTTACATAAGCTTCTGGAAGCTATTTTTTAGAAGAGCTATCTTAGAGACATACATTAGCCTGATGAAATTGCACTGTGTTAATCTTGGAAGGTCTGTGTGATTTCAATGCACTATCTCATTTAATTCTCACCATGATCTTATGTGGATGATATATTATCTTCATATTTGATAGATGAGAGAACTGAGGGCTACAGTACTGTGCCCAAGGCCACATAGGAGATGAGTAGTAGAATCAGGGTTTGAATCAATGTCCAGCTTCCTCCATCTCCATGAGATTTTCACTCAGTTGTGCTTCTCTGTGTTGCTAGAACTTGAGATAAAGCTGGAAACTTGTGTAAGAGTTGAATAATTAGAGCAATCATGCATCTTTGCTTTTGAATGCACGTGCCTAATAGTTTTCTCAGAACACCATTGCTTTGATCAGATATACCTTAAAGTATCTTTGCCTGTGAGAGTGGGTTAATCACAACCAGTGGCTATGATCAGAAGCATACAAAAACATGAACTCAGTTGCTCTAAGTACTTTACATAGTAGGCAATTGTTTGTTTAGTCTCAGTCCCAGTCCTTAGTGATGATTCATGATTTGTAAGTCAATCAATCTCCTATGGAGATTGATCTGGGCTGGTCATGCTACCAGCTCCAGATAATGCCTTGTCTGTTGGAGGAGAAAGACACATTTCTCTGATTTAAACAACTGCATGAAGTGAAAATACTTCATGTTCCTGCCCCCATCCTTCCTGCTTGAGATGCCTTGGTCATGTTGTGATGCTTATTAATAGGACAGCCA